CGCTTAGGCTCGCCGATCCGCTCCACGATGGGTCGGATCTGGTCCGGTCTGCACCTCAGTAAGCTCCCGCCGTGCGTGACCCAGTAGACCTTGGGCTGGCCGTTCTCCGCGTCCTCGCGCAGAGCCACGGTAGCCGGCCCTCTCCAGCGTGACTTCTGAAGCCGACTAGCTCCACGGTCGCGCCAGTAGTAGCACTCGTCGCCCACGCTCACCGCCTCGTGGGTGTCACGCCTCTTGCGCAGGAAGGCCCTGCGCAGCCGCTCCGTCGAGTCCGCCTTGATGAAAGCCGTCGCCGCTGCCGTCCGCCTCTGCATCGCCTCTTGGAACGTCTCCTCCTCCAGGTAGGCTTGAGACGCTGGCACGGACAGCGTGTCCGCGGACAGGGAGTCGTTGAGCTCAGGGTCGTAGCCCAAAACCCACTGCGCTGGACTGAAGCCCTTGTGGTGCATCATCCTGTTGATCTGGTTGGGTACGTAGTCCAGCGCCGACTTCAGGTTCTCGATGGTGCGTTCTAGGCCAGTCTCCTCGAACCAAAGCTCCAGCGTCTCACGCGTCACCTGATGAGCTCGCTCAACTGGCCCCAAGACGTGGTGAGCCTCGCCAGGGGCAATCCGCATCCTGATGTTCTGGTTGCTGGCCCAGTCGAGCATATCCTGACTGCACGCCGCGCCGCACTCGTCCATCACGAGCCTCGTCGGATTCCCGTAGTGCTTGATCCACGCCTTCTCGATGGACTTGATGGCCTCGGCTGAGGTCTCGCGCGCCACGATTCGGCACTTCTGGAAACGACTAGCTCCGTCCAGCATGTGCGCGATCTTCGCCGAGCCCGAGCGCAGCTTGAACTCGAAGAAGTCCAAGTAGACTGCCTGGTTGAACGTCTTCCAGGATGGTGGTGCCGACTTCGGTGGTTGGGAGGCCTTCTTCCGCTCTGCGCAGATCGCGCATAGGTACCTCCTCGCACACGATATGGCTTCCTCTCTCGCCTCCGCCGCCGTCAGCATCCGCACGAAAACCTCCGTGCTCGGGTGGCCCAGGTTCTTGTGGAGGCGCTCCACATACCTGACCACGTTCTGGCCGAACTCGCTCCTCAGCAGCTGGTTCTGGTACGTCTCCTTCGGGTCGTTGCTGCTGCTGTCCACCGTCGTGTGGTAAATATACTCCACCGCGTCCTCGCCTTCCTCGAGACCAAGCACTAGGATATCCGAGTCCTGAGGAGGGGGCTGCTCCAGCAGATCGCTGAGGATCTTGGCCAGCAGGGTCCCGTAGTTCTCGGCGAAACTCGTGCGGTGCAGGTTGGTACCTGGAATTTTGCCCTCCAGGTGGACATGCTCGTGCTGCTTGTCGCACTGGTACTCGTAGAGTCCCTCTGCCAGTCCTCGTCGTGTTGTGCGAACTCCAGTCCTTTTGCGAGCCAAGCCTTCTCCTGGAATCTCCAATCCTGTCATACACTGGTCGAAAAGCACGTGGTGTCCAGGCAACTCGTATAGCGCTTTCGTCCTCCAACTTCGTGCCGTAGAGGGTTGCTCCAAGTGTGCGTCTCGTCCAGCCTGCCACTGCTTGAGGTAGATCTTCTTGCAGAACATCAGGTGCGTCTGACGGTTGTCCGAGCGCCGCTGCTGCAACTTCTGCTTGTCCTCGTCCGTCTTGCAGCCTCGCTCCTGCATCAGCGTCCAGAGCTTGCACTCGGGACTCATCCAGATGTCGTCCGGCTGCTCCTCGTCGACCAGGTCGAGAAACTTCCTCTGCGTAGCGATCTTACTGAAATCCCAGCCGTTGTGCATCCCGAACGTCCTTGCCTGATGTCCGCGCCTTCTCAGCTCCTTTGTCAGCTCCGAAGTGCCACCGTAGACCTCCCATATCCTGCGCTTGGCCTTCTGGATGTCCTTCGCCCTGCTCAGGTCCTGCTTCAGCTCCTTGGCGGCCGTGTCTACGGACTCCTGGCACTTGCGCAGCTGCTTCAGGTTGAGGTCCTTGGTGATGTAGTTGTTCTCCTCTGTCGCGTCGACCTTGTTGTCTATCTCGACCATCGTGCCGATAAAGTCCACTGACTCCTCACACGCCAGCACCTCGTCTCCAAGAAACGTGTAGGGACTGATCGGGTGCTGCACGCGCACGTGGTCCAACATATTGTGAGGCAGTAGGGTCTGGTCGGCGCGGTCCTGCATACACGTACCGAAACTCTCCAGCATGTTGATGATGAAGTGGCCGCGACTGGGCTGCTGGCGTAGCTGAAACCACTTGCCGTCCCCATCCCAGCATGCCCTCTTATTCTTGAAATCCACGACCATCCAGAGCTCCTCCATCACCGGCCTGGCAAACAGAAATGGCGTGTTGCCAGGAATCACATACGTGAGAATCTCCATAAACTTGCCTCCAGGGAAAGACGGCACAACTGCACACGCCGTCGCCTCGCCGGTCGAGTCGCTGCCGTACCTGAAGTTCTTGGAGCACGGGAAAAATTTCATCTTGCTGACTGGAAATCCTTTGGCGACCAGCTGCTTGCAATATCCTTTGAGCGTCTCGTGTCCCACAATAACGCTGGTCGCCCCACTATCGTGTATCGCCTCCGACGGGTTGAGCTCGGTCGAGTTGTACACGTCCTCCGCCTCGTCCGTGACCATCCGCGCCTCTGCGGAATCCTCGCCGACGTTCTGCCTCTTCCTGCTCGCGTGGGGGCAGTCCTTGGCGAAGTGACCTCGAGCACCGCATCGTAGGCATATCGTCTCTTCTGTCGCTCTCGGTGGTGGGTGAGGTGGCCCACGTCCTGCTGCGCCCTTGCCGTAGCTGCTGGCAAAGTTGGTCTTGCCACGTCCCTTCGAAGCCGTCGAACCTCTTCCTGTAGCTCTCCCTCGGGACGCGCCTCGCGCCGCACCTCGACCTCTGCCAGCGGCAGAAGCTCGTGAGGGTATGATTGCTGCCGTACTCCTCGTCGGTGGCGGTACCATCGCTACGACTGGGTAGAAACCTCTGGCCAACCTCATGTCGTTCATCTTCTGTCTCGCGTCGGTGTATGCTGCCATGATATCATCGTTTTGGTCTACATCGTACGCCTGGTCTGGCATGGGGGGGTTGTTCGTCACTGTCTCGCTGTAGTAGGCCGCTTCCGAGTCGAAGCTGGAGCCCATCTCTTGGTGGTCTTCGCCGTAGTCATCGTAGTAGTGCTCCTCGTCGTCGCCTCCGTAGTAGACGTCGTCTTGCTCGTCGAACTCCTCGTAGTCGTCCAGGTGGTAGGCTGCCGCTCCAGAACTGGCTCGATAGCTTGGCATCGAGTCTAGGCCGAACGTTTTCTTCATCTCGCCCTCGACCTTGTCCAGTGAGAGGTTGTCGCCGACTTGGTTCATGATGAGCTGCTTGCCCTCTTTGTCGAGCCCAGCCCTCCGTAGTAGAAACCAGCCGAGCACCTTGTCGAGTAATGTCACGTCGTGTGCTCGCACTTTCCGCTCTGATGTTCGAAACCTCGTCAAGTAGTCAATCAGAGTCTCCTTGGGCTTGCGGGCTGCCTTGAAGAAAAAATTCTCGAAGTCCGTCGGGAGTTCCGTGATCTGATCATACTTGTATGCCCGGTCGAGCGCCTGGATGATGGTCTGCCAACCTTTCTCCTTCTCGATTTCGCCGATCTCGATATCCTCGACCACCTCCCACGCTCGGCCACACAGGCCTTGCATTATCTCGAGCCCTACTCCTTTCTCCTGCTCGCGTCCGCGAGCTCTCGCCGCGAAGATCTCCACCTTCTTCCTGAAAGTCCTGTAGCCATCGATCGAGCCGTCGAACTCTGGGGCTCTGCCGATGAAACTCGCTGGCGGCTGTCCGTCATCTCGTCCTGCTGCGCCGCGTCCCCCGCCAGGCGGTCCCATGGGTGATAACTGTGGTCCGTGAATAGATCGCTCCAGCTACCAATGTGAATCGGTCGAAGCACTCTAAGTCTCCAATCGTATTCGAATCGAAGTCCGAAACCTGCCAACTTCTCCTCGAGCACCCTGGTCCACAATCGCTCTGCGTGCGGGGAGGGTGAAGATAGCGTTTCTGGTCAGTCGAGAGGCCTCTCGAGCTCAAACGGCACAGTGCATCCTGCTTACTGCCATGCCTGCTTTACACATGCTGCTACGCTGCTGAGGGGGGAGGGTGCTTGCTCTAACATGTTAGTCAGAAACACCTCTGAAAACACATTGTATGGAGTGCAATTCACACGGGCCTGTCGCCCTCCTCGTCGTCTCCCTCTGGCGGCTGCCACCCTGTGAGTTCGTGCAGCACGGCTCCCCATGGGTGAATCCCGTACGCGCTGCTGCCGCTGTGAGCCCGCCAGCACGCCGCATCCCTTTGAGTCGCTCCCGCTTGCCTGACTCCGCCGCACTGCTGCTCGCGTGGCCGCGACGCCAAAAAGTGTATGTGTGCTTTGTCGTATGGTACGGTGGCTTTTTGCCGTCTCGGACTTGCGGCAGTATTGTCGATGGCGTTCAAGATCGAAGACCATCGACAGGACCCCCGACAGCGGAGATCGTTCAAGTTGTTGACAGTTCACGCGGTGACAGAAACCCGAGCTCACGGCGTCAGCCGGAATTTGCTGACAGTCCGAATTTTGAGGTAAGACTTGTTGAGGTTTCGCAAGGCGGCCGATGTCCCGTAAGTGGGTGGCTCCATAGGTATGCCCCAGGCGCTCCTCGTGCATCTGTGCGCAGGTGAGGTCCCCAAAGGGGCAGAAGTGCTCATCGTGTGTTTTGTTTCTCATGGCAAAGGCTTGGCTGCAGCCTACGGTCAAGCACATCATTAAGAAACATCCTCCCGAAAAGTTGGTCCAGCGTTTCTTAACCAACTTGCCCGAAAGCTGGCCCAGTTTCTTCAGCACGCTCGCCCCTCCAGCGTGAACACCTGAATTTGGCCCGGGCTTGTTGTAAGAAATTTCAAGGAAGTCGGCCCAGATGTCTTAAATCGTAGTTCTCTTGCTCAGAATCTGGGCTGTATGTCGCTGCACTTCTCTTCACCTGTTGCTTGGCCCTCGAGAGGAGGGAAACGCCCTGATGGCGGTGCTGCTCGACGAGGGGCCGGACCACCCGGTGCTGGTGCCCGTGCCGGGGGCCTCGAGGTCGTCCGCGCTTGGCCGAAAGTTCCAGGGGGAGCACACCCAAAAAAAGAATGTGGGTTGGCGGCGCGCAGAGGGGGGTAGGGGGAGGGGGGAAGGCTTCTTAGAAGCACCCCTGCTCCTCAGAAGGTGCGGGCTTTGTCTGTAGATGTAAGGCCAGCGCCTTCTAAGAAGCAGCCTCCTAAGAAGCCTCCCCCTCTCCCCATACCCAATTGTGCGCGTAACCACCATAGGGGCCAGGTACTGGAAAAATTCCACGTCGGCGGTCTGGGGAAGGACCAGGGGGATTCGAAGGTTTTGTCCGCCCTCCCAGCCTTTCTCCGCTCTTTTGTTGTTTCTATCTCTCTCTCTTTCACCATCCCGCTTCTCACGTTCGCCAGCTGCACGTCTCAAGAGGGAAGGTTCCGTGGCTTCACGCCTGCATCGTTGTTGACGCGCAGCCGCTGTCATGCCCGCCCCCCCCGCTCCGCCCTCAAGAAGGGATCGCGGGCCCAGGGGGGGAAGCGGGGTTGCGCGAACTGCTAAAGGCCCAGCTTGCGTTGCCAAGAGGTGGAGAGGGGCAGCTTGCGTTGCTGCGAGGTAAACGGCTGTGGTAGAGCTCTGCTTAGGATCCAATTCGACATTGTAGTTGCAGTCGGCAACCGTAACAGGGCCAGGGGTAGCCCAGTCACGAATCCCAGGGCCTCAGAGCGCGCGCTCCTGCGAGCAGGGCCAGCTGGCCACGATCCTGGCACCAAAAGTAGCTTCCTGGATGCGTGCATGGGACCGCGCTGGGAGCCTCGAGGCGGCCCGGGAAAAGCCAGCTGGCGGCACGCACTTCGCTGGTTCGCGCTGACGTCTCCGCTTGCGGACAGCCCTGTCCGCCGCCCCTGAGACATGGAGGAGAAAGGAGGAGAAGCAGGAGCAACAGGAGGAAGAGGTGGAGGATTGGATTGGATTGGACTCGGATTCAGCGCTGGGTTCGGGATTAGAACAACCTGGAGAGCGATGAAAGCTCATCTATCCCCTATGAGTCGCCTCTGGCGGCTGTCGGGGCTCACTTTCTTAAAGACGCGAAGCACATAAATTTGTACCGCTGAGGGTTCGAAGCCCGCCACACGTGAACAGGCACCTAAGAGAACAGGCTGGAGAGCGGCAAAAGCTCGTCTAGCACCTTCGCGTCGCCTTTGGCGGGGTCTGGGGGCAGTCTCTTAAACATTCGCTGCCAATTGTTTTTGTTATGGGAGCACTTGCATTTACCATCACACTCTTTTGAAAGGCCTTTGGCACGCTGGCCCTGGCATATGCAACCACATGTGCTGCATACAAACATCAAGCTGCCGGAGTCGCGGCATGCGATATAAGTCCTATGCAAACGAGGGTTTGAGGCGATTGCGCTGAAAATGGCATTATGGCCAGCGCAGACAGACTCCCAATACGGAAGGCAGCTCAGCGTAGCTTCGCTTGTAGCAGACTTTATAACTCCAGAAATTTGGCTTGATGAACTTCCACTGGTGATGGGCTGGTCCCGAAGCCGCGTCCAGGGGAGGGGCTTGGGTGACGGACGAGGCTGGCTTTAGGACACCGGCTGAACACAGGCTATCTGGGCGCGGCGGCGGGGGGGGGGTAGGGGGGGGCGGAGGAGGAAGAAGCACCCCCGCCTGCCGAACTGACCCCATTCCCTCGCGCCGTACCAGCCGTAGCTGGTCGATACTTGCCCAAAATCTCGTCGCGGTAGCTGTGCTCTGCCCTGCCCTCCCATCGAGGCCCCGCTCTCTTCAGTCTGGATCGGCGCCCCTGCCGACCACGGGGTTTGGGCAGAGCTGGGAAAACCGTTAGAGCTCTAGCGACGAATTTAAGGTAGGATTCCAAGGCTTTGGTAGTCTTTGCCTGATCCTCCACCTCGGCACTCGATGACTGCAAATGCGAATTAGCACCTAGCTTGGCTTCGTCGTTTCCCACGGCGTCAAACCATTCAGCTGAGCCTTCAAGGAACGACGAGGGATCTAAATGGGCAGCCACCTTAGAACAGGAAACACCATTAGCGGAGAGTCCAACTATACGCATCTTGGTTCTTGCGTAAAAAGACTTCCTGTACAGGAGGGTCTCTCGAGGCTCGGAGTGCAATCCAAACATTCCCTTATAGTCTTCGGACATCTTCACAAGTCCCCAACCCGCCCGGTGGAAGAACCTGTGCCCATCCTTATAGGCAGAGCCGTCAGAGAAGACTACACCCCTCAGAGCTACTTCAGGAGGAGATTCGTCTGCAGACCACCATTCGTACTCTTCGTGTCCAATCCCCTCAGGGGGGGGCTGTTTGGAAAGACGGGCACGCTTGAAAACCTAACAGTTGATGGGAGACCACATCTGGCTGAGTGAGAATATCCAGATCTTCTGTTGACAAGAACTCGTCACGCACATGCTGGGTAAGGGGGCACGTGAACAGCCGCTGGTGAAGATCGTCTCGCACGCTACCACAGAGACACGTCGTGTCAGTATCATATCCAAAACACAACAGGAAAGCGAATGCCCAGGTTCAACAAATCGCACAACATCGTGAACATACAGTTTTCGAGTTCCCCGAGTCCCTCAACCTCCCTCCCTCCATCTACATACCACCGGGAGATCTGCAGCGCTTGCACTGGCGCGAGGCTTTGCGGCAGTTTGGTAGAGACCGCTATTGGGATGAGGAAAACGATCATCAGATCCAGAAAACTCGTCTTGCTCGACTCCGTGCGCACGCTCAGTGTTTAAGGATGGACGGGAGCTCACCCATGGGTTCCCGAGGAGATTTGGAATTCTGGGACACTCTCAGGGCTCTGGCCAGCTTTGGGAATGCTTCTTCTGGAGCCCGCGATGGGGTGGTAGCTGAGATGTGCCGGGCTATCCCGTACGTGGGTTTGGTAGAGATCTGGATCGTGTTCCGCACGTATATGAGGACGGGGAGTGGTTCCGGGGAGTTCTGGCAGTTCTTGGAACTCATAGGTTTGCCGAAAGTTCGGAGGGTCACGGACTTCTCAGATTTTAGATTGATCTGTAAAACGCCTGTGGTGCAGAAGTGGTATCTTCGGAGTGTCATGCAGATCGTGCAGCGGGCGGCCCCGTCGTTCGTTGCACGCGTGTTCGGTTTCTGCCCAGGCAGATGCACATTGCATATCGTCGACATCACAACTAAGATCTTGCGGATATCGTACAAATTCAAGGCCCACGAGGTAGTAGTCGCATCCCTAGACATAAAATTCGCTTTCGATTCGGTCAAGCACCACCTAGTCACCGAGGCTCTTCGTGCGAAGCGGGTTCCACCGCATATTATTGCTGTCGTAGTCCAGGAGTTGTCCCACCTTCGAGCTTCCATCCAAATCGAAGGCATCGGGGAGTCAGCTCAGTTCGAATATTTCCGCGGAGGTCGTCAAGGAGGCGTGGAAACGCCGTATCTCTTCAATATCATCATCGGTTACATCATTGGCCCACTTCTTCTGGCATGGCAACGCAATGACAAAGGGTTTCGAGTCAATGCAGTGTTGTTCAATCTGCTTCTCTGGGCGGATAACATTGTGTTATTTTCCAAGTCAGTATCCGAGATGGGGGAGATGCTGCAGGAGCTCAACGACCTGCTCCGGGACTTCGGCTTCGAGTTGAAGCGGAAGGAGTGTAAGATCATGTTGAGTCAGGGGCTGCAGGGGCCCGAAGACGTGCTGCAGGTGCCGTCCAAACATCAGCCGTGGGAGATCCCCATTGTGCCTGGGATGGAAATCCTGGGTTCGTATATCGATAACACGGGCAGCACCGCGGCGGTTTGGCAGCATAGGCGCATCAAGGGTTCTGCGAATTACGGAAGAAGCAGCAAACTCCTTACATGTCGACACGCTAGCCGGTTTCAAAAGGCCAAAGCTTTTTCCCGAGGGCCTATGACAAGTGCTCTGTTTGATTCTGCCGCTTGGGTGGCCAGCCAATCGCTGCTGAGGGAAATCCGGGCTTGGGAGAACCAGTTTGTCAGGAAAATCTGGCGCTTGCGGTGGAGAAGTGAGACTGAAGGGCGTTGCAAGTTTTATCGGAGGACGGCCAAGCTGATCGACAAACAGTACAAAGCCTCAAAGTTGTCGCAAGGACACCACAAGTTTCTCCGGGCGCTGCACGAATGGCGGGGCCGATCGTTTTTCTTCACGTGGGGGGGCGGGCAATATCCTATCAGAGAATTGATGCTATACCGCCCACAATCCCATCACGACACAGGACAAGTGATGCAGCAATATTCCAAACGTCTCCGTCTTGACGAGGGGGGCGAATGGAGATACCGATCCGTGGGGGAGCAACGGCGAGGAGACAACGACATATTTGATGAGATGTTGCCAGAATGGAGAGGCGTCCTTGAACGCGGCATCGGGGCTTGGAAGCAGACGCGCGACAAGTTCATCAACGACGTGTGTCGCTCATGGAACTTCCCGGGTTGGGATGGGCCGAAAGGGTCTTGGAAGTTACGGGAGGATAAGATAGGCTCAATATCCCAGCGTGCCATCTCCGAGCTGAAAGATGACGTCCCTTTGCTGTTGACCACGGTTACATCTGCATCAATCAAGACAAAAAGCGCCGAATCTGGATCACCTCGGGCATACAGCTTTCGGGCGGTGCGGCGCCGGCTCTCCAGAGACATTCCGCCTCGCCTTCCCTTCTACGATCGGGGTTCGCAGGTGTTCTACGACCTATCGCCCGTGATCCTGGACAGCGATTTGGTGTGGGGGCCTTCTTCTGAATTCAACCGGTTCAAAATCATAGTCGACTCGGAGGTCGTGGCGGACGCGGCACTCGGAAAGGCGAAAATGGACAGGTGCGCCGACGTTTTGCGGTCCCAGTCGGAGTTGCTGGCCTCGTTGGTTTGCTTAGGCCACCGTCCAGCGCAGGACTGGGGGGACCCGATCGAGTGGAGACCCAGGGACAAAAACGTAGAGGCTGACCGGTTAGTGAATTTGTGTTTAGATTTTCCTGAGTTGCAGGGGGTGTACATTAATCCCAGGGCCTCCGAGTTTTTACATTCGAATTGTCTTTGTTGGTCGGACGGGGGGTTTCGAAGTAAATCTTCCTCTGGGGCTTCGGGGTGGATCATAAGATGCGCCCACCCGCCTCACGACATAGTTGCCTATGGCCTCGCAGCCGCCCCGGAAGCTGAGGACGCCCTGATCACAGAGGCTTTAGGCATTTTGGCTGTAACCCGCGCTCTCTTCCTCCTCCTCTCCTCCCGCCAACTCGGCTCCCAGAGCCTCCTGCGGAAGTTCCAATCAACGTTCCCCGGCACTGTAGAGCTTCAAGACTCTAATCCTTGTTGGGCGTATTCTCATTGAAGGCCCTTGCACGAAATATGTTCCTCCTGGCAGATCGGTAGCGTGAGGTGTGATGCAGCCAAGACTGGCGCAGCAGAGTGGAAATAAATAAATAAAATAATCTATGCGTTGACCATATACTCTGGCAGGAGAACGCCCTGAGCTAATTTCCAAAGAGCGCGCCCGTCGCGACCAGAATAAGAAAAGGGGGCCCCAGCTTCATTCTACCCCTCCACCCCCCTCTGCTTCCAAAAGGGGGGGAGCTTCCGAAGCTACCCCCCCCCCCTCCCTTTCGCAAGGCTTTCTAAGCTGGGGGGCTCTGGCTCAAGGGAGGGGGGGGCTTCGAAGCTACCCCCCCCTCTCCCCCCCTTTTTTGGAGCAGAAGGTGAGCCCGGGCTTACCTTTCAAAGGGGGGGGGCTTCGGAAGCTACCTCCCCTCCTCCTTCATTTTTTGGTTTGGACACAGGGGGGGCGGCTTCAAGCTATCCCCCCCCCCCTGTGCAAAGGTGGGGGGGGGGGTCCGAAGCTACCTCCCCCCCCCTCCCTTCTGGGGCTCTGGCAAAATGGCAAAATTCCTGACGACAGGTGCGCACCGCGGCGCTAGAGAACGAATTGGAGAATAACGTCGACCCCTGGTTCGTTTTCTCGTATTATTGTTTTCTCGGCCCCTGGTTCGTAGTCTCGTTTTCTCGGGCCCTGCTTCGTTATCGTGTGTTATCGTTTTCTTGTTGTTATTGTTTTCTCGTGTTTTCGGTCCCTGGGTCGCGGTCTCGTTTTCTCTGATCCTGGTTCGCGTTCTCGTTTTCTCGTTTTCTCGGCGCCTGGGTCGTGGTCCAGTTTTCTCGGACCCTGCTTCGTTTTCTCGTTTTCTCGGCCCCTGGGTCGTGGTTCTGTTTTCTCGGACGCTGGTTAGTAGATTCGTTTTCTCGTTGTCTCGGCCCCCGGGTGGTGGTCGTGTATTCTCTGACCATGCTTCTATTTCTCGTTTCTTCATTGTCTCGGCTCCTGGGTCGTGGTCTCGCTTTTTCGAACCAAGCGTTTTCTGGTGATCTCGGCCCCTGGGTCGTGGTTTCCTCGGACCCTGGTTTGTGTTCTCCTTTTCTCGTTTTCTAGGCCCCTGGGTCGTGGTTTCGTTCTCTCTGTTCCGGCTCGTTTTTTTGTGTCCTTGTTTTCTCGGCCCCTGGGTCGTGGTCTCGTTTTCTCGGGCCCTGATTCCGTTTATCGTGTTCTCGTTTTCTCGGACCTTGGGTCGTGGTCGTGTTTTCTCGGACCTTGGTTCGGTTTCGCGTGTTCTGTGTTCTTGGATCGTGGTCTCGTTTGCTCGGTCTGGTTTCTCGTTTTCTCGTGTTCTCGGCCCCTGGGTCGTGGTCTCGTTTTCTCGGACCCTGGTTCGTTGGTTTGTTTTCTCGCTTTCTCGGCTTTTGTTGTTTGTATTATTTCTTCGGGCCCTGGTTCGTGATCTCGTTTTCTTGATTTCTCGGCCCTAGGTCGTGGTGTCCATGTTCCCCGGACCCTTGTTAATTTCTTCGTTTTCTTGTGTTCTCGGCCCCTGGGTCGTGGTCTCGTTTTCTCTGACCCTGGTTCGTTGTTTGTTTTCTCGGCCCCTGGGTCGTGGTCCCCTTTTGTCGGACCCTGGTTCGGTTTCTCGTGTTCTCCGTAGCTCGGCCCCTGGATTGCGGTTTTGTTTTCTCGGACCTTGTTTTGTTTTCTCGTCTTCTCGTTTTCTCGGCCCCTGGGTCGTGGTCTCGTTTTCTCGGGCCCTGGTTCGTTGTCTCGTTTTCTCGTTGTCTCGGCCCCTGGGTTGTTGTCTCGTTTTCTCTGCCCCTGGTCCGTTGTCTTGTTTTCTTGTTTTGTCGGCCCCTGGGTCGTGGTCTCGTTTTGACCCTGATTCGTTGTCTTGTTTTCTTGTTTTATCGTCCCCTGGGTCGTGTTTTTGTTTCTCGGACCCTGGTTCGTTTTCTCGTTTTCTTGTTTTCTCGGCCCCTGGCTCGGACCCTGGTTTGTTTTATCGTTTTCGCATTCTGTCTGCCCCTTGGTCGTGGTCTCGTTTTCTCGGACCCCGTTTCGTTTTCTCGTTTTCTTGTTTTCTCGGCTCCTGGGTCGTGGTCTTCTTTTTTTTGACCCTGGTTCGTTTTCTCGCTTTCTCGGCCCCTGGGTCGTGGTTTGGTTTTCTCGGGCCATGGTTCGTTTTCTTGTTTTCTCGTTTCCTCTGCCCCTGGGTCGTGGTCGCGTTTTTTCTGACCCTGGTTCGTTTTCTCGTTTTCTCTGCCCCTGGGTCGTGGTCTCGTTTTCTCTGGCCCTGGTTCGTGTTCTCGTTTCTTGTTTTCTCGGCGCCTGGGTCGTGGTCCAGTTTTCTCGGACCCTGGTTCGTTTTCTCGTTGTCTCGTTTTCTCTGCCCCTGTGTCGCGGGTTCGTTTTCTCGGACGTTGGTTTGTTGTCTCGTTGCCTCGTTTTCTCGGCCCCTGGGTCGCGGTCTCGTTTTCTCTGATCCTGGTTCGCGGTCTCGTTTTCTCGTTTTCTCGGCCCCTGGGTCGTGGTTTTGTTTTCTCGAACGCTGGTTAGTATATTCGTTTTCTCGTTGTCTCGGCCCCCGGGTGGCGGTCGTGTATTCTCTGACCCTGCTTCGTTTTCTCGTTTCTTCATTTTCTCGGCTCCTGGGACGTGGTCTCGCTTTCTCGAACCAAGCGTTTTCTCGTGATCTCGGCCCCTGGGTCGTGGTTTCCTCGGACCCTGGTTCGTTTTCTCCTTTTCTCGTTTTCTCGGCCCCTGGGTCGTGGGTCGTTTTCGCGTTTTCTCATTTCCTCGGCTCCTGGGTCGTCTCGGGGCCCGGTTCGTTTTCTCGTTTTTTTGTTATCTAGGCCCCTGGGTCGTGGTTTCGTTCTCCCTGTTCCGGCTCGTTTTTTCGTGTTCTTGTTTTCTCGGCCCCTGGTTCGTAGTCTCGTTTTCTCGGGCCCTGATGCCGTTTATCGTGTTCTCGTTTTCTCGGCCCTTGGGTCGTGGTCGTGTTTTCTCGGACCTTGGTTCGTTTTCGCGTTTTCTGTGCTCTTGGGTCGTGGTCTCGTTTGCTCGGACTTTGGTTTGGTTTCTCGTTTTCTCGTGTTCTCGGCCCCTGGGTCGTGGTCTCGTTTTCTCGGACCCTGGTTCGTTGGTTTGTTTTCTCGCTTTCTCGGCTTTTGTTGTTTGTATTATTTCTTCGGGCCCTGGTTCGTGATCTCGTTTTCTTGATTTCTCGGCCCTAGGTCGTGGTGTCCATGTTCCCCGGACCCTTGTTAATTTCTTCGTTTTCTCGTGTTCTCGGCCCCTGGGTCGTGGTCTCGTTTTCTCTGACCCTGGTTCGTTGTTTGTTTTCTCGGCCCCTGGGTCGTGGTCTCCTTTTGTCGGACCCT